TGAATGGCAGACTAAACTGAATGTGGCGATGACCACCGTAACCAAAGCTGCCCTAAAGAAAACAGCGTATTAGGTAAACTGGAGGAACGACGGTGAAAGGGGACACGGAAAAGATTGCGTCTACAGTTTAGATAAACGTGTAGAGCTCGGGTAAGTAGATTCGAGCTACATCACGGTCTGCAAGACATATGCAATAAGTGGCATGTTCTTACGTTAACAATCAGCAAAAACAAAAGCTTAACTTATAAGAATTGATTTCTTAGAAATCAATGCAGGTGGAAATGGGAAAGGCATAAACTGAGAATTATAAAATCCGGCCAAAGAAAACTTTCGGGGCATTTTCTTGATGAATCGCTAAGCTATATATAGTTATATACGCGAAAATAGGGAAAATAAGAAAACATCACACCAATCACAAAAACAAGAATAGGAAGTTACCTCGTCCATCTCAGTGAGGTAAACACTCGGTTTGGTCCACAGTCGCTGGTTAGCAAGTTCACGTTTGACGCAATCAAACATTTCATGTAGCTTTTCGATGCGTGTGGAGTTGAAATCTAGCTTACGCCAGCCCTGGTCATGTCGGTACTTCATGCACATTAGAAAGATGTAACACAATGATCCACCGGGTTTGAAATCCATGAACAGACGCGATGGAAGTTTCATGGCTGAGTCTTTCACCTAGAATTTTGTGTGAGAGAAGAAAAACGTACGTTTTTGTTGTAATGTTGTTCTTGGAACGTTAATAATTGATAACAAAGATTGGCGAGGCTTTTGTTTGTTGGTGGTTCTGACTGTGTGTACTTCTTGTGATTTCTGGTTAGCCATGTTCGAACCGGATCGAAGTTTGCTATTATTTCTGGGTTCTCATAAAATCTGGCGGCTATACCACACTCCCTTGGTCGCGAAACTCCCATTTTGCTTACGGGGGGCGGCAAAATGGATCGAACACGAACATAAAGGACTAATTAAAACAAAAAACACACCAGATGTATGCTTCATTTCTGACTAAGCCGAGCCATTAATCAGTATTGTAACGATTATAATTCGGTAGTTTTTTATGTCAAACATTTTTACGGAACCATATTTGGGCGACCGGTCTCTATTTTCAATAGATAGTCTAAGACTTAGCTCTCTCCCCACAGAAAAAAGCAGTCGCCACACTAAATTTGTGCTGTGAATGCCAGGCCTTTTCTAATTAAGATGCCCCTGCATCATACGCCAGTATTCTTCGACTGCCCAGACATTGCCGTTCATAATCATTTCATATTGTGACACATTTACCTTTTAATTAATAGTAAATTATGGTTGGCTTTAATATGCCTGAAGTCCCCTGGGTTCAACCTCCTGACTTTAGAAAATACGCGGCCATATTCATGGGCATATTAGTTGGCGGCATTCCTGTTGTAAGAAATGGGGTTTTTGCTATCATAGTTCGGAATAACTTCCGCATACGTGTCTTTGCGGCAAACGGACATGCGTAATGTTCCGTTAGTATTTCATTGCACGATAACATCCAGAAATGGTGGTTTATTGTTGACTTCCTTCTCGAGCGCGAATTGAATGTCTGGACTGGTTGAGTTAATAGTGTTGTGGTACATTTCTAGTAAGTCCTTTTTACGACAACAAATGTGTCGTCTACATTACGTAGCCACAACTTAGGCTTAACCAATGGGAGGGCCGTCGATTCCAGTTTCAGCATCGTAACTTCAGTAAGAAATCCAGATATGGGTGCCCCATTGGTGCTCTTTTAAATGTTGATAATACTGATGGTCAAATGAAAAATATAAGTTATAGGCAAACGTCTAGGAGTTCACGTAAGTTAACTGCAGGAACCTTCGTTTCATAGGCCTTTAGGATTTCAGCTGCGGAAATAGTTGCTTTGATAAAATCAACGCAGACTTGCGTACGCTCTCGAGTTGGAGCGCTACCTCGCAGATGGAGTTTTCACAATCCAAATGTAATTTCGTGTGTTTTGGTGCTGTCAACCTTCCTGGACACATCATTTTCCAAAAGATTCCACTATTGGTGCGATCTACGATAAAGGATTTAGGTCTAACTTACATGAATAAGCTAGCGTTATCACCTTATGCGGATCGAAATCCTGCAAGGGCCGCATACATGTGCAGTTTTATAACACATAACCTTTTCTTTGGATAGAAGACTCGATGACGGTATATGTTTCTTATTTCGCATTAACAATAACGCTAATTGCCAATAGTAGCGAATATTCGAGTCCCAGGAAGCAGTTCAGAATACGGAGATGCGATCACTGGAACAAGAGATTTATTTGCCTGACGTTTCGAACTCCGTCGGAATCCTTAGTCATAGGTAATCGTAAACAGGTCTGAGACATGCGCAGATAAGACCTTAGTCATAGGTAATCGTAAACAAGTCTGAGACATGCGTAGATAAGTGGTGATACATGCACAGATTGCAGGGTATTTATAGTTCACAGCGGTCACCCGCATGCGTAATATAATTGTCAGTTCTTGTAGTCACCGCTTGAGGTCTTAATTGGTGCGGTGA